AGATCGGCGGAAAAATTGCCAACGCTTCGGCGACGAGTATGCGATTGAAAAATCGTAGTCGAAGCTCTGAACTATGGTTTTATTTGTCGCAAAGATTCGACAAATACCTTACATTTTTTGGTTGCTCGATAAATATTAATTTACCAATCTAATATTAATTTATCAATCGATTCTCACAGATTTAGTAAAATCTGCGCGAAATAGAGATTTCGGTGGAAACTCTGCGATAATAAGCATGGAAACGTTAAAACAAGTAATACGGATAGTACTGTCCATCGATCGTTTGGTATCGTACGCGGTAGAAAATGGTGAATAGAAAACGGGAAAGTTTCGACGCTCGTTCGATAGGCGATTCAGCGGATGCCGTTGTCTCTGATCCGAGTCTCTATCGGATCGTAGTTAGGTACGTTCCCATAAACCGTGTCTCTGCGACCTCGCTTTGGCAAAGTTAAGACGGTCCCTATATTTCCAGATGGACGTGGACGGATCTCGAACGCGGCGAGCGGTCGCGCTTTGGATTCTCGGCAGCCATAAATTGTTTCGCAGGTATTCGCGAGTACGTCCGCTCGGATCGCTCGCGCGAAAGCGTATGGCGCATGGCGTGCGCGATCGAGTCGGGAACAGGTTCACGGGAGAAGGAGATCGTTCGCGAGAATGCCTTCCACGTCGGCCGTTTATGATTTGTTTACTCGGATCGCCCTCGATGCGATGCGAACCCTAACCCGCCCATCGTGGCAGCCAACCACCGAGCTACGAACTCTGACCCCCCGGCTAATTGTTGTTGGCTCTAGATCCTCGATACGCGCGCGTACGTACGCGTCCACGCGAGTAGAGCGGTTCGCGAGACTCCTCGTCCGTCGTTCAGCGACAATTTGATCGTCGTCCTGTACTTTTGCGCGGGCGGGTTCTACGCGGATAGAACGAAAGCGATCTTTCGTCGTTGTTTCCACGAAACGCGGCACGCTTCGACGTCCTTAGCACCGTTTCGTTCGAACGATCCGGCCGAAATAACGTCGAGCGTGCCAAATGCATCCCCGAGAGAGAGAGAGACCCCGACCGAGAGAATCCGAACGTCCCCTATCTCCCCGATCGGTGTTCGTCGGGAAAAAGAGAAAAACGATGATGACGGGGTGGGACGTTCGCGATCGAACGACCGCGATCCCAGATCGGGATCTCGCGAGAAAAACGGGGAACCGAAGCGGCGATGGAAGCTGGCGAAGGCGACCGGCGAC